CCAGTGTAGAAACATAAATATTGGGCTTTGTTGTTCGGTTGCTAAGACATGTCTGACTCTGCGGTCCCATGGACTATAGCATGCCAAGCTCCTATGTCTTCCACTGTCTCCCAGTTTCCTTGAATTCATGTCCATTAAGTTGGTGTTGCTATCTAACCATCTCATCCTCTGCCACTCATTCTCTTTTGCCTTCAGTCTTTTCCATCATCAGAGTCTTTTCCAATGAGAATATTGGGAGGCTGATTCTTTTATATCTTTTTACCAGTTAGATGAGTGATTAGTTTTATCCAAGGCTGGAGCTACTGAACTAACTGGAGAGAATGGTCTAAGACAGGAGTTGGTAAACTTTTTCTGTATTATTCCAGAGTGTAAGTATTTCAGAATTTGAAGCCTTGAAGTGTCTAATGCTTTTTGTATACTTTTGTACACTTCTGCTATTACAGCTTGGAAGCAGTCAAGGACATATTAAACAAACAAAAAGGGCTATATACAAGTCTTTATGGAGGCAGAAATTTATATTGCATAGAATTCCCATGTGTCAGAAAATATTATTCTTCCTTGATTACTTTCTATTTAAAATGCTTAGTCATTGTTTGTACAAAGGTTATATTTATACATGGGTTGATATTTGTTAGTATGTAAGACTGTCTGAAAGAATGTTTTGCAATGCTGTGAGATTGATTTGTGGGATTTTTTTTTTCTTTTTAGTTTGTATAAAGAACATTTTCCAGCACAGGGTCTGAAAGATTTACCCTTATCTATTTCTAAAACTTCAAAATTTAGTGCTTACATTTAGATGATGATCCATGCAGGTAATTTTTACTTATGATGCTGAGTAATGTTTATGCTTCCTTAATTTCTGTATGAAATATGCAATTATTTGAGCAACATTTGATGAAAATACTGGATTTTGTATCTTTTTTGGCATCTTAAAGGAAAATTTTATGTATTTCTTACATAAATATATACAAGAGAATAATAAAGGGTTGTAGACATTTTATATGATAACCTTAGGGGATAGGAGATTCCCCCAAGTTTGCATTAATTATTTTTTAAACATAAAACATTAAAAACATGTTCGTATGTATGTTATATATGAATTTTTATATTTACCTGCTTTTGCAGTGTTGAGAAATAATCAATAAATGATCTGTAAGAGGAATAGAAAAGAGCTTTATTTGAGCCAAACTGAGGACTATAGCCCAGAAGACAACCTCTCAGATCACTGAGGAACTGCTCTGGAGAGGTATGGTTTATCTACATAGTTGTAAACCTTGTTAGAACAAAGAATATCAGGAAGCCAGAGATATATTCTTATAAGGTTTCAAAAAAACATTATCAACAGAAGCACAGCGAGTTGGTATGGCCTTGGCACCTAAGAGAGGAGTCTTCTCATTGCAAGAGTTTCAACACTGGCATCCCAGAAAGGAGGCACTTAATCTTTATTTTTAACATGGACATTCTTTATTTCTGTTCAATTCACATTTTATTTAACAATTAATTAGTGTGTATGTGTGATAGGCCACAAACAGGCAGTTTTATTTAACATAAAATTCAAGTTAAATCATGTATAAGCTAAAATGACTTCCCCATACCTTAATGTGTAAAAATTTTCCACAAATATTCATTTATCAATCTACCCATCTATTCATTCACACTTCCCTACTTCAGTATGTATAGCTCAAAACAGTGATTTTTGTATACAGAGGAATAATAGCAGTTGTACTTGAGTTATCCTTGATAGAATACTATTATCCAATGAACAGCCTATATTGAAAATTTCCCAGTTTTCATGGAATAAGCTTTATACTTTTTTTTTTTTTTTTTTGCAAATCAATGTCCAGCCCGGAAACAAGCCTATAATTTGGTTATATTTTCCCTGTTCTCCATTTCTCTCCCATTATCAGTTCTCTTTTGTCCTGTTTGTTTTCTTTCAGTACCTTTAACTTTGTAGAGTTCAGTATGGTAATCCCATAAGATATTCCTCAGGCTGGTTTTGTGTGGTTGTTTTCTGGACACACATTCCAGTTACAACTTTAAGTATATGGGTGCTTTGTGTTTCCCACTGAAATTCACTGCGGAGGTGCAGGCATGTATGTCAGTTATCCCATTATTGGTTATGCAGTGTTGTTCACATGACAAAGTAGTATCTGCCAGATTACTCCATGACACAGGTCCTTTTTTGCACATTTAATTAATAAAAAATTGCATGGTACTGTATGAGTTTATATCTTGCTTCTCAGTTGTTTAACCAATAGTTTTAGCATTAATAGATAAAACTTGCTTAAACTAATGATCCTATATTGAATTGTTGTGAAATGATTATTCTAATTTTACCATCATTCCTGTGTTTCAAATCTTGGATTAATCTGTAATGAAGTCTAACACAGTATTTTTAAACAAAGACAAAAAGTCTGCTTGGCAATGGTAAACAATAATATTTGTTATTGTATTTACTTTATTATCATTGGATAGATTATTTTATATTAGATCAAATGTCTGTTTACAAAAGCCATGCAAATGGATAATTTGAGACATTTAAAACATAGTAGAGACATAATCCACATATGAAATGAGTGAAAATTGAAATGATAAAACAAATAAACTAGTGGGGTCAGACACCAGTGTTCAAATGTGGTGATAAGCAGACTGGATTCATAAGTTCTAGGACCCATGTACTGAGTATTTCAGATGCCTTTGAAGTCCACTTTAGCAGCATCACTGCCATTAGTCTTAAACTTATCCTTGTTTATTACTTGTTCTGTCTGATTGAAAATGCCACTGCCCTTCTTTCAATCCAAGATTAATCCTAAGATTGGACTAAATGATTTTCAGCAGTTCTTCTAGCTCTGTGACTTGTTCATAGGTTAGTTTATCTTCATCTGTTCTTTCCAGGGCACAGATACATTAACATCACTGACTTCTGTGTTGCCTGATGACAAAGAATTCCCCAGCCCGGAGGTATTTGACCCTGACCACTTCCTGGATGAGAATGGCAACTTTAGGAAGAGCAACAATTTCATGGCTTTCTCAGCAGGTAACACAAATTTATTTTCTTCATTACTTTAGGGATTCCTTGGTGGCTCAGAGGATAAAGTGTCTACCTGCAATTCGGGAGACCAGGTTTGATCCCTGGGTCAGAAGATCCCCTGGAGAAGAAAATGGCAACCCACTGTAGTATTTTTGCCTAAAAAATTCCAAAAATTCCTGGTGGGCTACAGTCCATGGGGTCACCAAGAGTCAGACATGACTGAGCAACTTCACTTCCCTTCCCTTCAGAGGACAAGGCGCCTTTGAGCATCCTTTGGAACTTCCATAGTACCCACTCTGGGCCTGGTTGAAATGCTCTTTGTCCATGATGAGGGACAGCAATCCCAGTGCCCCTACACCTTCCCTTTCCATGATACATCCTCATCATTGGGCTAGATTACCAGAGCTTTGGAGCAGTGACCCAGTTCTTTCAAATCAGAAATAAGTTTAAACTACATTCTGAAAATATAAGAGAAGTGCATCTTAGACTAAAGAAACTCTGTGTTATAAAACTAAATCTTCAAGGTTAACATAGATTCAATATACTTACAACAGAGAACAGAGGCTTTGAAGAAAGAAAAGAAAGATATTGGACCATCACACTAGGAACAAAAATACAACCAATGTATAAATATTTCTAGAAAAAGTTGATGGAAACTTGAAAATGTCAAATTGGAGTTATAATATACTTAATGAAGTATGTGATATAGTGCTGATACTCAGTAAATATCTGCTGAAAGAAAGATACCTGTTAAGATTAGATATTAGATGGATAGCATGTATATCTACCCTTTGTCCACCTGTCTATCTAGCAATCTGCCTTCCATCCATCCATTCAAACATTCATCAAAAAGTTACTGCATAGTCTGTTTCTGGCAGCCAGAAACACAGTGTTCAAGGAGTATGTACTCTCTATGTTTCTTATTTTCAGGAAAATGGATTTGTGTGGGAGAGGGCCTGGCCTGCATGGAGCTGTTTTTATTCCTGACCACAATTTTGCAAAAATGTACCTTGAAATCTGTGTTTGACCCAAAGGACATTGACACCACCCCAGCTATTACTGGGATAGCTACTATGCCACCTTCTTACCAGCTTTGCTTCATTCCTGTGTGAAGAATGCTAGATCATCCAGCTTCCTCAGTGATGTTGTCTTCAACTCCCTCTCCTCGGGGGCATCATTCACCAGTGTCCTGTTAATATTTCCTGAGAATACATTTTCTGACCTCTTCTCATTCCCTGCACAGTTTCACCACGGAAACATATCTGCTGTTCTTCATATCTTGTAACATTTGTATTGGTCATCACATATCCTAATATGTCTCTAATATTAAGTAGTACTATGTACATAGCATCATGTACTCAGTGCAAAGTACGGCAAGATGATTAGTGTGTGCCAATGAGACCTATTTCTCCAGTGTATGTTTCTAATAAAAAGCAGAATTTGATGAGCCATTTCTCAGATTTTCCTTCTTTTGTGCATGTGTCTTGTAAGAAAGGAAAAAAAAGACAAAGATGTCATGCTCTTCCTTATAATGATATGCACAGAGAAGGACAGAGGGAATGAGAGCAGAAAATCTCCCTCTTATGCATGTTGTCTAGAGTTATTTGAGATTTGGTTTTAAAAGAGAGAGATTGCTTTCAAGAGCAGCTTCATATGTAGGGAATATTAAGATCAGTGATAGTGAGAATTCAGTTTCAAATAAGACATAGTGAACCACAATTGAAAATCACAACAGAAATTGAGATTGTGTACAAGAAATTACCTTAACCAGTCTCCCTCCAAAAAGAGAGAGGACACAAATATCACAAGTTGTTATTAAAGCGGGGCCATCTCTTGATGCCATGGATATTGAAAGCATAATAAAGGAAGTATTATGAACAGCTCTGTGTCCTCTGACTTGATAAATTAATTGAAATGGGTCAATTCCTTAAGTATGCAATCTGCTGAAACTCACCCAAGAGGGTATAATATTAGTAAACTGCCATAATAAGAAACTCTGAACTTTCCTTCCCTCAGTGGCCATATTGACTCAGAGCAGCACATGGATCAATTTTATTTGTAAAAAAAATCCAGAACCTAGTTGAAAGATTTCTCTACCTTAGTGGATATGAATCCAGTTACATCAAAGCCAGAAAGAACAGCAGAAATACACTCTTGCCATAACTATCAACCTCTTCAGTTCAGTTCAGTCATTCAGTCATGTCCGACTCTTTGCAACCCCACGAACTGCAGCACACCAGGCCTCCCTATCTATCACCAACTCCCAGAGTTTACCTAAATTCATGTCCATTGAGTTGGTGATGCCATCCAACCATCTCATCCTCTGTCATCCCCTTCTCCTTTTGCTCTCAATCTTTCCCAGCATCAGGGTCTTTCTTATGAACCTCTGCAAAGTGCCATATAATTGAGCATGAAACCCCACCCCTATTCCCAGCTCCCAGATTGTCTCTGAGGAGCAAAGGAGTTGGCATTCACATCTGGCCTTCCATTCACAATTTTGGGGGCAGTTGCATGAGGAACTAGCTTCTGTGTTGCTTGTTATAGAACACTGACAGGATTCAGCATACTCTTGAAAATGGGCAATGAATAGAAAAGAAGAAGCAGGCTGGACTAGCCGGTAAATTTTGGAGGCCTTCACAATCTTTGAATGAACTGATTGGTGAAGTTCTCCTTCATGAGACTAGTCAATGAAGACAATGAGTGTGACTGTTTGTCTAAAGTCCAGAAAGCAAAGCAGAGTCAAGGAAAATGAAGTAACAGGAAATACATGATTTAAGTGAAAGATAATTAAAAACAACAGCCATAAACATCATTACTGGGTTCATGAGAACAATCAAGAAATGAAGCTGAAATTTCAAGAAAAAGATAGACAATGTAAAGCCACCAAACAGAAATCAGAAACATAAGACATCATTAAAGGGTTCAGAACAGACTAGATCAGGCAGAAGAAACGGTCAGTTAACTCAAATATAGGTCACTGGAAATTATTCAACCAGGAAAATGAGAAGAAAGAAGAAGGAAAAAGAAAAGAAAGTCTAAAAGATTTCTGGAACGTTGTGAAATGACCAATATATTGAGTAGAAGTCCTAGAAGGGGAAGAGAGAAAGGGAAAGGACTAGAAAGCTTATTCAAAGTAACAATGGCAGAAAACTTCCTACATCTGAAAAGGTAGTGGATGGAAATATACTGGACTTATAAAAGAACCTCAAATAAAAAGAAATATACACTGAGACACAATATAATCAAATTGTCAAAAGTAAATTATGAAAGAATTTTGAAAGCAGCAAGAGAAAGCGATTTGTCACAGACAAGGTTGCCCTTTCAATACTACCAGAAAATTGCAGAATCCTTGCAGGAGAGAATGAGAAAATAGTTCAAAGAAATGAAAGAAAAAAAAAACACCAACAAAGAACCTATACTCATCAATACTCTCTTTAAAAAAATGAGAGCTAAGACTTTCCCCCAAAACCAAATCTAAGAACATTCCTCACCAATCAAACTGCTTTACAAGAAATACTAAGGGGCATTCTTCAATCTGCAATGAAAGCACCATAAACAGCGGCGTGATAGTATAAGGAAGAAAAGGACATTTTGTGAAGGCCAAATATATAGAAAAATATAGAACAGTATATTCTGTGAGGTGGTGGTGTTATTTGCAAGTGATATAATTTTATATATAGAAACTTCCAGACTCAACAAAATGCTCTCAGAGCTAATCAATGAATTCAGTAAAGTTGCAGGATATAAAATCAGCAAAAGAAATAGTTGCATCTCTTTATACCAACAGTGAAACGTCTGAAAAAGAAATAGGGAAAATTACCTCATTCACAATAGCATAAAAAACAATAAAATATATAGGAATAAATTTAGTGGTGGAAGTGAAAGATCTATACAATCAGAAGTAAAAGACAAGGTTAAGAGAAAGTGAAGAAGACACAAACAAATAGATATCTTGTGTTCATAGATCAGAAACATTAAAATTGTTAAAATATCCATAACTATTCAAAGCTGTCTCATTGCAGTCCCTATCAAAATTCCAATTACCTTTTCTACAGAAATAGGGAGGCCATTTTAAAATTTGTATGCAAGCAAAAACAGCCTACATGAAGTATGGGTTTGAGCAAGCTCTGGAAGTTGGTGATGGACAGGGAAGCCTTGTGTGCTGCAGTCCATGTGATCGCAAAGAGTTGGACACGACTGAGTGACTGAACTAACTAAAAAGAGCCTGAATAGCCAAAGCACTCCTGAGAAAGAAGAACAAAGCCAGAGGTATTCTACTTCCTCATCTCAAACTATACTATGAAGCTATTGGACTGGCAAAAAATATTGTTAAAATGTTCATACCACCCAAAGCAATCTCTGGATTTAATGCAATCCCTATGAAAATACCAGGCCTCCCTGGTGGCTCAGATGGTAAAGTATCTGCTTGCAATGTGGGACAAATGACAACCCACTTCAGTACTCTTGCCAGAAAATTCCATGAATGGAGGAGCCTGGTAGGCTATAGTCCATGGGGTCTCAAAGAGTTGGACACAACTGAGTGACTTCACTTATCAAAATACCCTTGACATTTTTCACAAAACTGTAACAATCCTAAGCTTCATGTAGAACTATGAAAGACCATGAATTGCCAAAGCAGTCTTGAGAATAAAGAATAAAGCCAGAGGTATCACCCTCCCAGACTTCAAACCATATTACAAGGCTACACTAATCAAAATAGCATGGTACTGGTGTAAGCACAGACAGAACAATGGAACAGAATAGAGAGCTCAGAAATAAATCCCAGTACATATGGTCAGTTAATTTATGACAAAGGAGGCAAGAGTTTACAAAAGTGAAAAGAGGGTCTTTTCAATAAGTGGTGCTGGGAAAACATGGTGCTACATGTAAAAAATGAAATTAGAACATTTACTCACACTGTAAACAAAAGAAACCTCAAATGGATGAAAGACCTAAATCTAAGATCAGAAATCATGAAACTCCTAGAAGAAAACATACAACACTCTGACATAAATTGTAGCAATAATTTCTTTTTGATTGGTTTCTTAAGGCAAAAGAAATAAAAGCAAAAATAAACAAATGGAACTTAATTAAAATTAAAAACTTTGTACAGCAGAGGAAGTCAACAAAAAGACAACCTTTAGAATAAGAAAAAATGTTTACAAATAATACATTTAATGGGGTTAATATCCAAAGTACATAAACAACTCATGCAACTCAATGTCAAGCAAGCAACTCTATTAAAAATGGCAGAAGATATGAATAGACTTCTTTAAGAAAGACATATTGATGGCTACCAGGCACATGAAAAGATGTTCTTCATTGCTAATCATGAGAAAAATGCAAATCAAAACCACAGAAATCACCTCACAAATCAGAATGGCTGTTATCTAAAAGGCCACAAATAATGGGCTCCAGTTTCATCCATCTCATTAGAACTGATTCAAATGAATTCTTTTTAATGGCTGAGTAATATTCC